TTTTTGCTAAAGGTAGATAATAAACTGATAAAAGTCGATTTGCCTGACTATATCCTATAGCTGTCATAAGCATAGTCGAGCGAAAGCTGAGTTGAAGAACTTAAAACTCAAAATCCTAATCCTAAGTGCAAAAAACTTTGGTTACAATCGTTGCTCTATATAAATCTTAACCATATTTAATACCATATAAATGTAGCCCGATTTTTGCTTAAGAAAATATATACGACTTTCTATATTTTAAGTACAACGGGCAATTGTAAGACTTGAATTGAATTCAAAACATTTTGGAGAATATATGAGAAAACAAGGCCTAAGCCAAGCCCTGGACCCAAGGATGTTAGGCACCTGCTGCAAGAGCCGAGCCATAATGCAGGCGTGGATTCGAACCTGCTACCAAAAAAAAAACGGACATATACTTTTCTTATTTTGCGACCTTGATACGAGTAAACCTGCTGATGTTGATTTTATCTAATAAAATTTATGATCATCTAAAAATTTATGATTGTATTTTTTTTATCATAAATATAAACTTGACTTTTTTTAATTATATTTATATTCGTATTTATATGGGTGTGAATTTTCTTGTTATTATAGATTTAGCCATATTATTATTATATTTTTTCTACCAGAGATTTCTAGACTGAGATTCGAACCGGGATCCTGCTTTATGAGCTGGATTGCTTTTTCTTTTCTATTATTATTTATTATATATTTTTTTTATTTTATTATATATTATTATTTATTATATTATTATTTTTTTTTTATATTATTTTTATTTTATTATATATTATTTATTATATTATTATTTTTTTTTTTTAATAATTTTTATTTTATTATATTATTCAAATATATTTTTTATTATTATTTATTTGTTATATATTATTATTTTTTTTTTAATATTATTTTTATTTTATTATATATTATTTTTTATAATATTATTATTTTTTTTTTTTAATTATTTTTATTTTATTATATTATTCAAATATATTTTTTATTATTATTTATTTGTTTATCTAGCCAGATCTGCCTCAAAATCTAGCCCTATATCTTAGAGCAGGTGCAAAAAATCTTTAAAATAAATTAGAAAATTTCTAACAATTTATTGGTAAGTGTATCTAATCTTCAGCTAGTGCCAGATAATTATTTTCTCAAAATTTAATATGCACAAAATGTTTTTGTTTCTTACTCCGTAATTCGCTTAGAAGAATGTTTGCTAAATTTGGCTTGCAAATGATTCAAAGCCCGTTGCGATAAGTGAAACTCCATTCAGTTGGGTTTTGGGAGGGCGGAGGGTTACGGGTTGCGGCCTCTGACTCCGAGTCGGAGTCGGATTGTGGCCCCGCGGCCTTGGCCCTGAACTTGCTTATCAAGGCGGTGCAAAGATTAACAATTTGTTGTTGTTTACATAATTACTGTAAAAATTACAGTTGCAAGTTGTAAATTGTTTGTTAATCGCGAATGCGGTTTGAACAAATGCGAACTGACAGTCGAGCAGCAGAGACCGAGACCCAGACCCAGACCGAGACCCAGTCGCAGTCCGAGTCCGAGTCGCAGCTGAGGGCAATTAAATGCGCTTATCAGTTTTGGAGCCGTGGCTCGAATTAGCACCCCACACACCTGGCAGCCGGCCAGTATGGGGCACTACGGTTCTGGGTTTTGGGTACGGCTATTATTAAACAGTTTTACAAGCCGCTAACGTTTCCAAATTGTTGCTAATTAGTTGAAACGCGCACGCCGGCGCAACAGACCTTAGAGAAGCGCCCACGATAAGGTGTGCGAGCGCTGGACGGGCCGGCAGAGGGGTAGGGCCAGGCTATGGGCTTGGAGTCCAATAAAATTCGGTACACAACGTCGTCAGATGCCAATTGTGTGTCACGAAGAGACAACAAAACAATCTAAGCGGGCCGAGATATGAGTTCAAATTTGGCGACAAGCGCAAAATTAAATTTTGTCAAAAAATTAAAATTTGGCCAGAAAAAAAAGTGTTTAGCAGCTTAAAAAGAGAAGCGAGCCATAAATAAACACGCGAAATTAGCTCAATTAATGGCAAAAAACAAAAAAATTGTTAGCATTTGAAAAAATAAAGAAATTCACAACTTAAAAAAAGAAGAAAAATTTTTAGAACCAAAAAAAACCACGCGAATTGAGCTTAAATTGAGAACAGATTTGATTTAAAACCTTTTTGGGCAGGGCAAAAAAAAAAACCAAAGTTGTTAGTAACTGGAAAAAAAGAATTTAGCAACTTAAAAAAAGAATTTGGTTTAAAATTAAGTCACAAAATTAGCTCAAATAATGACACAGAATGTCGCAAAAAACTGAAAAAATTCTCAATACTTGGAAAAAAAAAAGAAATTTCTAACTTAAAAAAAGAAAATTAAAGAAGGGGGAAAGAATAGACACTAGAAATTGGGCTAAATGAAAAAAATATTTGAATTGCAGTTGCTTGGAAGCTCAAAAAATGTTGAAAAAATTGTCAATATTTAAAAAATAAAGAATTTTGCCATTAAAAAAAGAAGAAAAAGTCTAAAAGAGACTTAAAATTAGATAAATGAGTAATATTTGTGGAATTTTTTTTAGAAATTAGCAACTTAAAAGAGAAAAGAAGCTGCGTGTAAACTAAAAAGATTCTCGAAAATAGCTTGGAAAATAATAAATTGGAATAGGAGAGAAAGTTCTATATGAGGCATTCATTAAATGTGAAATATGACTTTAATGGGGAGAAATACTTTTGATTTCATTTCAAAAATACTTTAGAAAAGTTTTAATCAATTTAATATTAAAAGTTTGCTTTTGAGAAACCTTTCATGGTGTTTCCTATAGAAATACGATCAAGGCTTATGACTCAGGTCTTTCTTTGGCAAAATAAGTATTCTTTCATACACGTATTCTTTCATTCTCATAAAGTTAACAGCATATTGTTAATAGATCAATGTAAATACTCAATATGAACGTCAGCATGAAAACAAATCAAACAAGTAAGAGGTTCTAGTCGGGAGCTCCCGACTAGGGGATACCCTGAACCCTCTTCTTCCAACATCAAATGCATATATATATTCTATTTTAGAAGCTGGAACTCAAGGGTCTTATTATTTATTAAAATAGCTCAAAAAACAGGATATCGATATCGATTTTTATCGATTGCTTGAAAACGGAGTAAGTTATCGATTATCGGAAACAAATCTGCGCGGGAACTAGGAGCATCTACATCTAAAATTTCAGTCTCTAGCTCTTATAGGTTCTGAGATCCTTGGGTTCATACATACAGTCGGACGGACGGACGGACGGACGGACGGACGGACAGACGGACAGACGGACGGACGGACAGACGGACGGATGTACGGACAGACAGATATGGCTAGATCGACTCGGCTATTGATGCTGATCAAGAATATATATACTTTATGGGCTCGGAGATGCTTCCTTCTGCCTGTTACATACATTTGGCTTTCACACAAATACAATATACCCTTATACCCATTTTAAATGGGTTCAGGGTATAAAAACATTTTGTTTTTTTTTTGTACTCTTGCTTGTGTATAGAAGAAGACGTTAAAAAACCAAGCGCACAAATTAAATAACAATTGATTTTATGTGAAGACTTTTAACTGATTTTATTATTGTATATTGCAAATTGACTGATAGACTTCAATTGACCTGCCCCTGCTGCCTGTACCAAGCCGCCCCCCGGGACCGCTCCACACCTCTGGCAATAGAAAGTTACTCAATTACTTTCAAAGTGACTTTTTGGCAATCCTTGAACAAACAAATTAAAAACTTAATTTTTCTATTCCAATCTTTGATTATATCTTCATGGAAATCTTTCAATAATTTCGCTTGGGAAATCTACAAACACTTTTGGCTACGCTTCGATTCCGAGCGATTATTGCTCATGTTGATCTATGTGCGTGTCACTAGGGTGTGTGTGTGTGTGTGTGTGTGTGTGTGTGTGTGTGTGTGTGTGTGTGTGTGTGTGTGTGTGTGTGTGTGTGTGTGTGTGTGTGTGTGTGTGTGTGTGTGTGTTTGCTGGGTTGTTACTATCTCTATCTGTCAAAGCGTTGCCTATGAATATGTGCGAACGTCGAGCCCGTCCGTTGTTATACCCTGTATCCATTGCTGAACTAAAAAGGGTATATTGCTATCGGTTGACCAGGATTGTTCAGCCAAATCGATCTAGTTTCGTTCTTCTGTCTGTGGTTCTTATTGTTCTGAGAGACTAAACTAAAAGTAAAAATCTTCCCGAAAAAATTGCGATTTGGGGAAATTTTGGTCATATTCTGAAGATTATAAGAGACAGAAACGCCATAGCCAAGCTTGTCATTTATCATATGTAGAATATTATTACAATTTTTGCAATAGCTCCTTTCACTTTTACAAAAAAACGATAAATATCGATTTATGGACCCTTGTTAGACCAATCGGTTTTAAAGAACTAAAGACGTCTAATTGGGAATATGGGCACGTTTTCGTATAATTTACGCACATCAAAAATATGTTCCCTATTGAAAATTGGAGCATACTTGGTAAAGTTCCACCGTTGAATAAAATCTAAAATATTTCCCTTATGCTAGGAAAGTGAAACATACTCAATAAGCTTAACTCTCGGTATATATTCTCCATTGACTGACATCTTTCAGCCGCAATAAGCTCAAAATCGATTGAAATATGAAATTAAATTTTCTTATGACGACTTTCCCCCTTTGTATATAACTGTGTACAGGGTATCTGCTAAGCGAGCAGCCTTGACTTTCACACTCCCATTTGTTGTCATTGGCGCATATATGATTCAGTATACAAAACAACTCCCACAAGCAGCACCACAATGCGAGTCGTTTGAGTTTTACAGTTCAGTTCAGTTCAGTTCAGTCGGGCGACGGGGACAACGACTACGACTACGAGCCGAGCCGAACCGAGCCGAACGATCGACCGAGCCGAACTGTCGACCGAGCCGAACGGTCGACCGAGCCGAACTGTCGACCGAACCGGGCCATTCCGTTCCCGTTTGCCGTAGCGCGGGTTGTGTCAATTTGAAATTCGCATTCGTTGGCCGCAGATCGTTCGGTTCGGTTCGGTTCGGTTGTTGTTGGGGGCATTTTTTGTTGTTATTTAGTGGCCGTCGGATCTTCGAAGTAAAATTCATGTTAATGAATGTTAATTTATACATTTTGTAAGAATCGAAAATCTGTTTATATTCAACAACAACAACAACGGCAACAACAATTATTATTGAAAGAGCGCGCGCGCGAAATTGTTATTTGATTTTTGAAACGAGATTCGAGATTTATTGTGTTTTTGTCATATAGTCGTGCATGGAACGTCGCGTAGATCGCATCGATAGGGTGTAGACAATAGCGCGATTGACATGGATCCCGATTTTGTGAACAAATACAATCAAGTGCTGAATCGCCTAAAGCTCGTCGAGAACTTCGATGGCACCGATCCCGGCAAGCTGCCGCAGTTTCTACACAAAATCGACGCCCTTATGCCCGCGATCAACACATTCGATGACTATTACAAAGCGCAGCTGATTGGACACATTAAGAACAAGTGCACGGATCGGGCCAGAGATGCGGTCTTCACGCGACAGCTGAGCGCTCCGGCGGGCACGGGCAATGGCCATGGCCAGGTGGGCAATGGCGGGGCTCTGCTGAAGGCGGAGTCCTGGCACAAGCTCAAGGATCAGCTGCTGCACAGCTTTGCGGAGCGCGAGTCCAGCTATGCGCTGATCCATAAGATTCGCAGCGCTGTGCTCGACTCCAACATCGAGCTGTACTATCAGAAGATGTCCAAGCTGAAGCAGCGGCTGCTCAATCGCAAGTTGACCCACAATGATACCCTGTACTCGCTGGAGGATATTGAGCGTATAACGCTGCAGGTATTTCGGGATCATCTGCCGGAGCCGACGCACTCAATGATCCTGCGACGCAATCCCAAGAGCATGGAGGAGGCCTATCGCTATATTGTCGAGGTGCAGCAACAGTTCTACACGCAGAGCGGACCACTTGGCGGGGAGCAGGGCGCCACGTTCAGCACCAGCCACAAGCAGACCTTTGGCGTGGGCATGGGCGGCGTCGGAACGGGCACTGTCGGCTCCAGCATGGGCGTGGGCATGGGCCTGGGCATTGCATCCGTGGGCCTGGCCAGCACGGGCTTCTCGTACGGCCGCCAAATGTCCGAAAAGGGCACCGCCGGCTCCACGCAGGGCTATCAGCAGAGCAACCGGAGCTACTACAACCAATCGGCGCCCCTGGTGGGCGCTGGCAAAACGAATCCCATGTTCAAAAGCAACGGCAATCCCTCCTTCAAGTCCAGCTTCAGCTACAGCGGCAGCAGCAGCAGCGGGAGCGGGAGCGGAATGGGGATCGGCAGCAAGCTGGACAAGAACAAGTCGAAGGATGCGCTCAAGGGTTATCAACAGGGGCAGGGCAAGAATGTGAAGGCGAACAGCGGCAGCGGCAGCGGCTGGCGAAAATAGGTAAATGCACTGTGCTCCAAAGATTGGGTTTAGTCATGGGCCAATGAGCTAACCCAATGCCATGACCTAATCTCTTTCTGTAAATGCTGTGACTAAGCCCTGGCAGCGATTGCGATCGCGATTGCATGCCTCATGCTAATTACCCCAATCTAATAGTCAGGTGGATGGATGGATGGATGCTGTGCTGCCCGATGCCGTTGATGATTCTGTTTGTTGTTGTTCATGATGATGATTGCAGCTCTGACACTAAAAACCCAACCATGTTAATTATTAGATCATAAGTCTCAAATGTACATATATACGTAGCCCACCTCCTCCCCTCCCTCTCCGCCACCCACAAACCCCCCGCGCAACCCCCACGCAAATTGTTGTTTACAATAAAGTGTAAAGTCTAACACTCGCCCATGGATGTCGTCTTCTTGGAATAGTTTGTCGCCTATCTTATCATTCCCATATATCTTTCAGATATCTGCCATAAATCAATGGATAGTTTGACGCCGATTTTGCTGTTTTATATCAGCTCAAATGCCATTCATATTAATTGGCCCAAATGCGTCACGTCACGTACAACATTTTCATTTGAATAAAGGGAAAATCAGGGCTGCACACTCAAAGGAATTAGGAAGTGCTCCGGTTCATAAGCTGGTTCCCTCTATGATTCTTTAGTTCAATTTTTTTGAAACCTCATTTAAATTAAATCACAAACCGATTCGAACCCAAAAATTCAAATGCTGTAGGCTCTGAACCGAACCTTCAACTTGTTGATACAAGGCTCAAACCCAGACCTGTTTCTCTTGATATGAACGAAGAAATTCACGAACCGAATCAGTTATTGGTTTAAATCGTGAACCGAACCGTCAATTGCAAAATATTCATTAAAAATTTAAGATAAAAAGGGCACAGAATTTTGCTGAAACAAGGTTCAAACCCAGAACTGATTCCCTTGATATAAAAGATATTCACGAAGCAAATCTCGTGGCGCTTCAATGGTTTAATTCGTGAACCTAAACAGATACCTTGACAGAAATTTGCTGAAACAAGGTTCAAACCCAGAACTGATTTCCTTGATATAAAAGATATTCACGAAGCAAATCTCGTGGCGCTTTAATGGTTTAAATCGTGAACCTCAACAGATACCTTGACAGAAATTTGCTGAAACAAGGTTCAAACCCAGTACTGATTCGCATGATGTGAAAAAAAGAGATGCACGAATCGAACCTCATGATTCGGCATTGGTTCAAATCGTGAACCTGAACCGCGAACAATTTTGTTGTGCGTGCCCAGCCCTGGTATATATGCATAAATAGTTGCTTGGGGTACTCGGACTTACCGCATGCTGTGCTCCAGTGCGCGAGCCCGCGGAGCAGTTGTCATAGTTCGTGTCCGGGGGCGGCGGCTCGCTGGTCTCCTGCAGCTTGACGGCGCGCGACTTGGTCTTGTCGCGCTCCGGCTTGCCAAAGAGTCCGCGGCGCTCGGCCATGCGGATGAGGTACTTCTCGTTAAGCTGGGTGAGGGTCTTGCGGCGCACGAGCGCAAGATAGCTGCCCGTCGCCAGCTGCTGGATGCAGTTGTCCTGGTTGATGCAGATGTCCGGCACAGTGTCCTGGACGAACTCATCGATGTCGGGCGTCACAATCAGATCGATGCTGTCCACGCGCGGCAGCTGCACGTTTGGAGCCGGCGGCTCGCCCGGCTTGGCGTTCAGCTCTGGCTGGGATTTGTGCTTATCCTCGGCGGCCAGTTTGTCCTTTTTGCGCGGCGACTCCTTGGACATGGCCGCCGCGGGTATATTGGCCGCCTCAGCCTCGGCAATGGCCTCCAGACGTTTCACCTCCCGGTACGCCTGACGATGCTTCTCCAGCGCCAGCCTGTTGATCACGCCCAGCACATGCTGCACCATGTCCTCGTTCTCGGTGCCGACTATCGAATGGGTCTGATAGAGCACAAACTGGATCTGCGGCCGCGACATGGACATGGTCAGCGTGAGCAGCTGCTCCTCCTGGATGCAGCCCACCCGTTGTTTGCCCTCGTCGCTGACCTCCGATTCGGTGAGCACCTCCAGCATGCTCAGATCGCCGCCGCGCGAGCAAATCAAATCAATTGGATCCGAGATGGCGCTAAATGAATTCGGGGGCGTGGCAAAGACGCCCACTACGCTGCGAAAGCGATTCGATTCCATGGGAAAGGAGGTGAAGGCGTCGCCAAAGAGCCGAATATTGCTGACCTGCAGGGCAGGATTGGGGCTCAAGTGGGATATATGCGAAAGTTATAGATGGATCTTACGCCTATGGATTCCATATAGCGTCGGTAATCCTTGAGATTGGCGCCCGCGCCGTAGACATAAAAGTTATTCACGCGATTCACGGAATAGAAAAGTGCGGCCAGGTAGGCCGTGGAGCGGGGCGAGTCCACGTGGGTTTGCAGGATGTCACCTGGTTGACAAGGATATCAAGAATATTCCGAATAAATCCCGAAAATATAAGCCTAGTTACCATATAGCTCAAAGTAGTCCATGAGCTTGGACATGATCGCCGGGCCATACGAAAAGTTTTTGTCCTGCAAGAAGAAAATCTAGAGAAAGCTGGCCAGGATTGGGCTTAGACCAGAGCTCACCTGCATGATAAAGTAGTGCTTGGTCATGAGCTGCGACTTGGTGAACTCGCTGCGATCCTTGGGTATAATGGATATCACCAGCGGACAAATGTTGTCCCATTTGCAGTGCTGCTCCAGCAGCGGCTGCTCATCCTCCGGCCCGTGCACCGTGTAGCCCATCTCCATGAGTATCTTGTTCGCCTCCGACTTGTTGCTGGAATGAGAAGGTAGTCAATGCTTGAGCACGGCAAAAGGCGGATAGCTTACCGCAGCAGAAAGGGATTTATCCAGCCGGTGACAACGGGATTGGCCGCCGCAATGGCCACCTTCTCGTTCTGCAGATGGATGGGCAGCAGCTGGGAGAGTCGGAGGGCGCCGACGCCGATCCGCATGCGGGAGATGGAGGCGGCCAGGCGTACGCGATGCTGCCACAGCATATTCGCAATTTCTGGCGAGGATTGCGCTGAGGATTGGCATTAACTTGACTGAGATGGCCACCTACCTGTTACCTGCGCCTCCTTGTAGAGCTGCGCCTGCTGTTCCTGATATTCCGAGTTGCGATTCCTGAAGTTGCGATCGTAGAGCTCGAAGAGCATCAACCAAACGCGCTGCTCATCCTCGATGTACTACGGAAAGATATATACAGATAGATATATATATATATACTAAGGATATATATATATGTTATATATATTCGCTTGTATTTATTTAATTTCAGAATTCAACTTAAATCCACGCGTTCTAGCGAAAGCTTTCCACGCAGTTTTTGTCAGCTTTCGATCAAATACTTCTGTGAAACTGAGCTCGAATTTCACGCATTTTCCGCTTTCGAAGGTGGATTATGCAAATATTTTTGAAGAACTTTGAAAATAGGTTTATGTAAGAACTTAAATTCACGAAAATTGTGAGAGATATTTTATATTATCTTCAATCACTGACTGACTGCTTGATTGACTGACTGACTGATCAATGCACAGCTCAAACTGAAGGAAGGAAGCTTACTATATACAACCTGACCTTGTTTTACCTTTTTGTGGCGCTCCTGTTCGAAGAAACCGATATCCGACAGGGCGTTACACAACACTGTTTTATCTGAAAACAAAAAGTGAGGTTATGTCGGGTAAAATCTGAAAGCAAGAACAAACTCACAGCGAAAAACATCGTAGATCAGCGAGTAGGCCAGCCGCATCTCGTGCTCATTTTGAAAGACCACGGGCAATGCGGGTTTCCGCAACAATTTGGCCGCATTCGCGATGATGGGCAGATTCCAGCGAGCGCTGGCCTTCAGCCGGATCCGCACCGTGGTCGCATGACAATGCTTGAGGATACGGCTGCGCCGACCGTTGGGACTGATGCTGGGCGAGATGATTTTGGTGATGCGCTCCGGATCGAAGACGGGCTTGTTTCGCTTATCGATGTCCTTGAGTGAGATATTGATGTCGCCGGACTCGTTCACCTGGCGCTGAATCTCGAGCAGCATAAAGTACATCTTGTCCTGCCACTCCTCGTCGCTGGGCAAATAGATTTGCTTGGCTTTGCGCAGCTGCGTGCTGCGCTCCTTAAAAATGGCCGGATACACCGAGAATATGTCCGCCAAACTGAGAAAAAACAATTGATTCGACATGGTTGATCCGCACGCCTGCAAGGAACAGCAGCAACTGCTGCCAGCTGCCAGCTGCCAGCCTGTTGTCCCAATCCTCCGCCAGTGACAACTGCTGATTTCCATTTCCATTACCAAATTCATATTCTGGTTCGTGCTTAACACCAATTCAATGCTCTGAGCGAATCGACAACGATTGCCAGCTCCATGCAATACTTATCTATCTCGCATGCCCCAGCTCCCCCCGCAAGGCCCACTCTCGCCCTGCACTGGGAGAAAAAAAGGAGACTGTACTGAAATAGATGTCATCAGGTTCTTGTTGCTCTATTATATTAAGATTATAAGTATTCTATTATTAGAGTTTTAGATTGAGACTGGAAAAAAAATGTACTCTTATATATGATTATTAATACTCTAAGATTTGATATGAATATAATAAAATATATAAATATTATAAACGTTTTTTTTAAGAATTTTAATAATAATAATTTTTATTAATAATAATTAATATATAAGAAAAAAATGAAGAAAATATTTAAAAAAAAAGTTAAGATCAAACAAAAAATAAGAATAAAAAAACACATTTAAGAAAATATTTTTTGTTGAGTTTTTCGATATTTTTATGCCCCTTAATAAATAGGAATTTCTCTCCATAAATCACGCACACTTGCATGCAACATTCTGGCCGAGTCTAGATTATTTCTCTCAGTGCACAATTTAGTGTGCACGCTATTGCCCACCACAAAGGACAAAGCGTTCGTCAGTTGAGTTGGTTACGTTAGGCTCCATTTGAGCCGGAGACGGCGGGGGGGGGGGGGGGGGTCTGGGTCTGGGGCCTGTGACGGATCTGGCCGATATCACACTTACCTTTTATTTTTTACGGCCTCAGCACGCGGCCATAAATTCCGTTTGCCATATTAGATGGGGGGATGGGGGAGGGGGAATGGGTACTGGTTCGCATGATTTGCTCTGATTGGAAACCGTCTTCAATAAATTGCCAACTGTCACAGTCCGACGCCCGTTGACGCAGTGGCGGGGGCGTGGCAGCCGCTCGCAATTCTTCAAACGTGTTTCCATTGATTAGACTAAGCCCCAATCCGCCGCCCAGCCCGCCTGCACCTTCACCTGAAGGAACGCTCAATTTGGTATTAGGCAGC